AACTGTTCTGCCGGAATTGGTAGTAGCAAGGTTTGTTCTTTTGGAGATTTTTGTTGATGTTTTTCTTGAGAACATGAAAATATTTTTGAACATATTTATGAAAACAAAAGCTAAATTTAATTAATTTGATTAATTTGATTAACTTCTATTTCACAAAATTCTTTTTCTTTAAGTACTCCAACTATTTTCATAGATTATCTAACTGATTATTTATTTAGTTTAAGATATAGTTTCGATATATTTTGAAAATCTCAACGGGTTCAGAAAATTATCACTCTCCTAAGCTGTAAACCATAACATTTTTCATAAAATGATAGTTAATATTTCAGAGATTTCAAATCCTATATTTCAGATGATTGCCAAACTAGTTTGTTCACGTCATAAACCAGGACAGCAGACTATTGTATTCAATGAAGCTATACCTAAAATTTTCAAATACACTCCTATAAATGAAGTCCGAAATCTTGGTGGCAAATTAGGAAGAGCATTAATGGAAAAATTCGATATCAAAGTATATATTATTATTCATGGAGTGAATTATCAAGACAAATTAAATAATTTATGTATATTTTGGAGAGTCTGTAGCGTTTCTTTTTTTAAAAATGCAGACAATGGGAGAATTATCAAAAATATCGATGTCTAATCTCAACGAAAGTTTTCCAACTCAATCAAAATGGGTGTACAATATTGCACGCGGTGAGATGTTTGCAACTTTCTCTTTTTTAAGAAATTTTCCTGCTTTGACTTTCAAATATAATCATATTTTGCTATATACAGTTATATAAAGCTAGATTTAACGCCTTATCCGGGAATATAACGTTCAGAAATACATGGTACGGGAATATAGTATTCAGACCTTGTTCAAGATTTAGTAGAGTGATCTTAAGAATTGATTGGATTCAGTATTCAAAAATCATATTTTATTATTGATTCTTAATTTTTAGGTATCGACGAAGAAAAAGTTACTGCACGTGATAAACAAAGCTCGGTTGCTGTGAGTAAAAATTTTCCTGGTTCTAATGCTCTAAAAACGGATGTTGATGTGAAATTTTGGCTAGAAGGTTTAATCAAAGAATTGGTGAAACGCTTAATTGACGACCAAGTAACGGTATAATATATAATTTTATCATATATATTATTACTTATTTTTAAAACTAGCTCCTGATTTCTTCATTCTATCATTTACTATATGTTAGTGATGCTTGGATCTTTCGTTGTAGTTGAAACTAACATTTAATATATAGTGAGACATGTTTGGCCGAAAGATTTGGTCAAACCGAAAATATTATAAGCACGTGTTAGCTGATGAAGATAACTTGGTGTAAATTAATTCACAATCTTACCGAAGGTTGAATTTAACGGAATGGTTCAGATATCACTAAGCCTTTGTCCCGAGCTTTATATGTTTCTGGTCATGCACTACTATCAAAAGATATGGTGCATTTAGTGACCAGATCGGTTTGGTGCGTTTATACTTTCTAATGCTGAAAATACATATTCACAGTTTAGGAATTTTATTTGCACTTCCTTAAAATATAATTCATCAAAAAAACATGTTTCATAGTCTTTCATATAGAATATTCGAACCGCTTCAACACTCCATATTGGCTGCACAACCGATATTCATCTTGCCAGAAATATGGAGATGAAGACATATGATCCAAAAGCTTTATTTACTTCAGTTTGGAGTATTTTTCGACATATTAACAAATCGAGAATACCTGAAACTTGGTAACTTGAATAAAAATACTTCTTGTTGTTCTTTTTTTAGAAATCAATTGATTTTGTCGGATCAACAGCAACGATGTACAAAGGGATATCTGAATTACTGCATCTAACCTGTTATTGTTTCAATCATTTTTATGATAGCTCTAGTTCTTTTACATCTTTTCAAATTTAATTTCAACTTTTGCTTTTTCATTAAAATGGTTTGACTTTCAAAAATTGAACATGCATATTAGGGATCCATCGGTGAAGAATATTACGCTTTCTGCAAGTCGATTTCGGGAAGGGATTGATGGCCGTTCGAAACAAATCACAGAATGGGTAACAAAAGCAGTGGATAGAACGGCGAATTCAATAGTAGAAGCTTCCTCGAGTACAGATATTAGAAATGCAGTCATATCTAGTGAAAAGGTAACGAAGACTTCATCATAAACTTTTATAGACGTTTGAATTTCATGGTGTTTCGGAATTAAGGTAATTTTTGATTCAAGTTGTAACTTAACCTCTGTTTGTAATGATGCATTGATCAATATAGAAGAAGATAATTCTAAAAGTTTCTCTGTTTAGATTGTCTCTTCGATCTTAAACCTCATCGAATTATTCTGAAGGACATTAGTTTTATTGTTATTTCTGTCCTCTAAAGTATTTATGAAACATCACCTTTTATTTGAATAGATGGATAGTTTACAGATCGATTTAATTTCGTTTTCTATTAAAATATAGATGATAACATGCAGATTATTTCTGATGTGAGGGAAGAAACAAGAAGTATCATTAAAATATACGAAAGTTTTTGTTATAGATGAGTATGCATTATTCACAAAGACAGATACAAGAACAAGATGATGACATACAGATTATTTCTGATGTAAGGAAAGAAACAAGAGGTATCAATGTTGCTCTGCGTCCTAAAACAACTGTTAAAAAACAAAGAAGGAAAGGAGTACGAAAAAAGTCAAGTCCACCAGTGAAGAAGATATCAGATTTTTTTAAAAAACAATGAATTTCAATATTTACAAGTTGAAACGAGTAGATGAGAAAACAAAAGTTATTATCTGGTTATGTTTGCAGTTCAATTATAGTTTTATAGGTGAAGTTTCGTGTTAATGAATTTTATTTTTGGAATCCTTTAAAAATTTCAACAAATTCCATACAATTGTACGTTCTTAAATTGTCGATTTTTTGCTATGCTGTAGCTATCATTTTTTGCTATCAATTATAAGTATCAAATATTTCTCAGGTTTAAATTTTTGTGTAATACCTCTAAGGCTCAAATAAATATTTTGCTGATCTGATCCTCCGTTTTATAATAATTTTGGTAAACTTCATTTGAATGAAGTATATCTAAATAAGTCCTTCATTTAAATGTATTTTCTATCTTCTTTCCAACTTTTAATAATTTGAAGAGAATGAATGAAATTCAAATTTTGATAATTTCCAATGATTAATTTAAATGGAAAAAGCACTCTTGGATCACCTTTACTCCTGTCATTATTTAACGTTATTTTATAGAAGATGAACATAGTTTTGAAAGTGTATTGGAATGGGAAATTCTGTGATTCCAATTTGAGAAAAAAAATGCATCAAGAAATTATAAATTTCTACTTCTTCAGCTTTGAAAAAATTAGTGGTATGATAATAATCATGTCATGTGATCCTCCTCCTCCCCCTTTAATAGATGCAGTTGAAAATTATTCCTTGTTAAAGTCATACATTTTCCACTCAATCGTAACTCTCCGAATTAAGTGTTGAATCCCAACCAGACTGGAGAATTCTTGACCACTTTCTTTTGAAACTTTTCATCCTCGAGATTGCATTCGAATGAATAAGTGAAACGAAACAGTGTTTCGACCGGGGGGAAGTAGTGGTTTTTTCGAAAAGGTGTGCACGGAGTGGGATTCGAACCCACGCATCGATCCCGATACCAGAAGACCCACATCACACTCATACTCGTGTGAAGCACATTGTTGCTTGAGTCTGGCGCCTTAGACCACTCGGCCATCCGTGCCACGAACTATATGCCATATTTCGAACTTAATTTTAGATGGGGAAATGAAATTTTAGACTAAAATTGTAGTTTTAAATTTTACGATTACTTTTACAAAAATTAAATTTAAAAGTTTTATAATAGCAATTCTGATCAGTTATAGCTGAATGCAAAACTGAGGAATGATTGTCGGAGAATAAACTTTTAAATTTTGAAACGAAAATCGCCCATTTAAACTTGAAATTCAATTTTTTTTTAAAATTCAGTAATCTTAATTGATTTGCTGTAACGATTGGCTTTTTAATTTTCTTCGGGTAAAAAGTTTTATATTAAATTAGTATTCTTCGATATACTATTGCAGTGAATGTAGAATATGCTTAATGTATATTTTTCATTATAATAATTTCTATCATTAAATACATCATTTCCTGGTGTTTCCTTTAATTTTTTTCAACATTATTCTTTTCCGCAATAAGACGGGACTAAAGCGAAAAAGTCTCATATCACTAGAAGAAACCGTATGAATTATTGAAGGACAACAATCAGAAAGTTGATAGCATTATGTTTATATTTATTTCATCATAAAACTTCTTTGCCGCTCACTCATCCAAAGGATTACAGAAAAAAAATGTACAAATGTGAATTTTATTTGTATTTAGCAATAAGGAATATCACTGATAAACAATTTTTTTTAAGAACGTCAGTCATCCATTATCACTGTCTTACGCAAGCATCAAACAGACAATGAACAAAAAATAAAAGCGCTGATAAATTTAGATATTCGTAATAGAGATATATAGTATGTTCATTTAATCATACATTCTTACCATCATTCATCAATAATAGGATAGCAATAACGTGAATGATGACGGTAACAGTGCATAATCATTATTGTTAGCAAAAGGCATTGTTAAAATAACAAAATTTGTTTAATATCGAAATGAAATGACAGTAATTAAATTCAACTATTGATTAATCAGTAATCAATAATTAAATTTAATTAAGTTTTTTTTATATATAAATTTTAGACACGAGAAAGAAAAAGCTAAAAATGTAAATTCCAACATATATGATAATAAAAATACCGGGTAAAAGGGAGTGACGACCGGATTTCGGGATTCATCCAAGAATAAAGCAATTGGATCTAGTCGTTCAAACTTGTGCAATCGAACAAAATCTCCCGCATAGATTTTTTAATTCAGGTTTCCTTTCTTTTATTTTTATTTTTATGCATACCTGACTCTTCGGTATTTTTTAAAATTTTTGAAGTTTTAATTTTGTTTTTATTCACCCTC